AAGTGTGGAACACCCGAGCCTCGGACTCGCGACCTGTTGGTTTAGAAGTCCACGCCTCTACACACCGGGTTACGAGCCCGTTGCCCTGTCGGTTTTCGATCGGGAAAGTACAGTGGTAGGGGGCGCTCACCGATCGTTCATACAGAACTCACTCGTTCCGTTGTGCCTTACGGGCTCTCTTTCTCGAGCCCAACCAGCCCAACCGTATTATAAATTAAAACGGTCGTTATCTGCGCAGAGCAAGCTGAGAAGACGCGTACTGTGAGAGCGGTTTAGCAGCGGTATGGTCACGCAATGTACAAAGAGGTTTTTTAACTGATGCCGGAGAAAAAAATACTTGGAGACTAGTCCTGCATGAAACACGGCATTTTTTTAACGGGTTAGGTGAAGAAATAGAAAGTGCAACAATTTCATCGCCCTGAAATGATCATCTAGATTCCCTTAGTCATCGTTCTTATACTGAACTGACCCTAATGTTGTGCATACTCTGAATAAAAACAACTGCACAGTATATTTGTTAGATAACGCAGGCAATGGCGGCCACATTCATGTAGTCGGAGCCATAGATGATTTATTAGGTTGCTTCTCTAGCAAACGGGCCCTGTACTCAACCCCGAAGACTGTTTATGTGACAATGCATAACACTCATACTCTCTTGCTTTTCAGGAAAAAGTTATTTTCAATAAATTCTTCGATACAAATTGACGACGCCATTTATCGGAAAGAACTTAAAATATGCATTTTCCCTTAATCCTTCTGGGACAGATTTGTGCGAAATCTGAGTAACAAATTAGGAGGAGAAATAAACAAATTTGAAATACGCCTTACGGAATTACAAGACAACAAGCAATTAGAACGATGTCGTTATTTATGAAAAAAACAAAATGCCTAACCGGACTGAACCATAATATCTGTTTGTTTGATCTAACACTACTTATTCAGACAGATATGGGTAGTCATCACTTCACCTTGAAGACAAAGTTTGCACGCAAACTTTACTACACCCAAAAATATCTTTAAAATCAGCCAACACAATTACTTGTCAATAATCGCGTGGAGCTTTTTAGAGCAGCCTTTAATCAGTGTATGTTAGCCAGCAAAACTTGTCTTAGGTGACCACCTAAACTGCTGCAAATAAAAATTGCTTGACCCCTGTCTGAGTGTGCTATTTCATCAGCGGCCCAATAGATATATCGGCTTAGTGAGCGCGTTTCGGTGTACAGAGCACAAACACGACTGTCGTCGACAGAATAGAGAGAAAGATTTTGTTTAGCACGACACTATCATATATATGCCACGTTTACGCTAGCACTTAATTAGAGAGATTTTTTCCCATAAATAGTAATATCTAAAGTCACTGAAAAATGCCTACCGGGGTCCAATGTCGTGAAAGTTTGAGATTTCAAACACGCACACTCCTGAGGCCGTGCGTATTGCTTATTGTGTTTGCTGGACAAGCATGCAAAAGACAAAACGTCGAGACAACCGGTAATTTGGCATCGTTACTTTGACAAGTCGTTTCATATAAAAGATAATCTCTGTACATTTGGACTTCCGAAAGCGAATTAAAATGCCTTGAAAGTAATCTTCTGTCGTTACTTAAGATTACAAAATGGTTCATTTAATACAATTCGGATTTAAGGCAGTCGCCTAGTTTAAATACATTTTCCTCATAATTACTACTCTATTCAAGCTTTATTCATGCTGGCAATATAGTTGACTGACACAGTGCATTGATTTTCTAGCCCAGTTGAGCGCACGTTGTCCACACTCTGAAAGAAGACTTGATCGTTTGGTTGAAAGCCTTCTCGATTCCGTGCGTTCGATGCATTACGAAACGTTGTTTCAAAGGACGATTCCTACGTTATTTACGATGAAAGTCCCGGTCGCAGCAAATGTTCAAGCCTGTGCGATTTACACTGCACCAAGTGCAGGAGGTTTAATATTCAACTGCTCTCTCATATTTCCCTCGACAACTGTCACGTTCTCTAAAGATGTAAGCTATTTATAATTTTTCTACATGGTTAACTTAATTTTTATCACTTAATGTCAGTTAACATTTTTTTTCAGGCTTTTGTACCAAAACCAAATTCCAGCGTGTTGCATTACATTATGAAGAAATACGATTACAACATAACTGACGTCTACGCAGAGGCCTTCATCACATCAAAGCCTGCGTTTAACGAGACAATTCGAATTCATGTGACAGAGCTCCGTTTTCCTGGCTTGAATCGTATTATTGTCGACAACACATTACTTAACGAATATGTAGCTATGCCTCGTTGGACAAGATGGGCAATAATGGAGAGCCCTAACCTCGCAAGGAGGGCTTTTTCCAAACTGGCGCCCTTAGCATGTGTGTTTTACTAATGTAGTCTCAAGGTAATTAAGCTATTTAGTCGCACTAACATAAAAAACTTTGATATGCTTTTGCATCATGTTAACATATTTAACTATCTTTTTCCGAATAAATAAATGCGTTTTAATTTTTTTATCTCCCAAACAGTGAGTTGAAAGTCCTCACATTATCTTTGTTTTGCCATTAAGTCACATATACACGGACGAGATTCTAAATATTACCGTCGATGTAAGGGTAGAGACGGCATGCATACAGACAGCAATAACACAAGTTTAATAATGACTTTAAGGCACCTTAAGTAAAGACGTTTACGTCGCCTAGAATGAATGGAACAGTTTGTTCGATATATACATCCAATAATTTTTTTCTCCCAAAAACAGAAAGAGTGAAAAGCATCATCCAGAAGAGAAGAACAATCGAGTCTGCGTAGACGATGCTTCAGTTCTGCTTCTACTTCGTCCGTCCAGTCTTCTTCTTTGTCGGCCTTCTTAAATTTCTTCTGGTCCGACAATCTAGACTGTAGTTTCCCCACATAGTCCAATCTATTCATTATAACTACGCCGGTTCTTCTATCTGGTCTACTTACCAAAATATTTCTAAACTATCGCAGTTGCTTTAACTTCTGTATGTGTACTTTTGTCAACAGTCGCCGACTTGTTGTGCTTTTGATAGACGCATACCACGATTGTTGATTTCAAGTGTTTGACACTATTTTTGTAAAGGGTCTTGAGATAGTACGTCTGGCTCCAGGTATTCTCGAAGTGCATTTCTAAATCTAGCTGATTGACTTTTCCACGAAGTTTGCAAAACTTAGGATCAGGAGACAATGCTTTACGTGATGTTTTCTCGAATATCATACAGAAATGTCCAAAGTCAGCCTGGAATTGAGCCAATCAGACCATGTCCTAGAGGTGTTAGCATTTCGACTGGACTTCTGGCTCATCTGAGTAGCTAGGCGACCAGGTCCACAACGTACACTGGGCCAGGATTATACACAACAAAAGAGGGGTGTGATTAGAACTCCATTTGGCGCAGTGTAGGTCTGCACCTGGAAGTGCCGGCACACTCCCAAGGTTGGCCTTTCTTATTGTGGCGCATTCTCGGTAACGTCTTTTGGACCGCGATGTAGTCCCCGTGTTGACCCAGCCTACTTACTGGATGGCCCGTTCCAGAGGCACGCAGACGTCATACTGTCCCACAAAATCAGACGTATGACTGTCGCTGTTAGGAGGAACATCCACTGGACACCGACGTCGCCTTGCTGGAAATCGCAACTAACTCTCAGCTTTCTCTTGCACTATTTGCTTATGCCACCTATGGTTACATTTTAGGGATCAAACATTGGCGAAGTGGTACACGTCAAACGTCTTGGGTACTGTCGTTTCCTTATCGTTTAATGAGCTTCTTCTACCTATTTGGGTATTTGTGTTCTAACATACTAGCTGGAATGAAGGACTGGGTGCTGTCGAGATACATTCCCTTTCCCTAACGTGCTGACGCAGAGCTCCATGACTCGATCCAATGTGAAAATACATTACTTTCTGTGCTGAATTGGAAGAAACCAAGCGCTGGATTATGACGAGAAATAACATTAATACAGATACATTGAAGGCATAAAGCCGTTGGCGGTAGGTTAATCACAGTCCGATTTCCATGGTCTACGCGTCCGCTCTAAATTTTATTACAATGCTAAATCACGTAATTTGTCTACTTTCCTGCCTGCGTCCTCCGGCTCTTCATCTCTGTTTTTTCATGCTCCCTTTGTGGCTTTCGCCTTTATCACAAACAGCACGCCACATTCACCTCCAAGATAAAGTTTGAGATCATAGGAGTTCCAGTAGGTCGACTGCATGTGCACGGCTACGCACCTGCTCAGATGCAACGCGATGTAGCAAAGCAAACACATGCGCTTCCCAGTCTCCATCTCGCACATTCAATGCGTTTGCAGTATCCGTCAACCCCACTAACGGCTGCGTCTCACCTATCCTTCGACCCTACAGCATGAATGCCGTCTGCATGTTCTATGGGAGTACACAACCTCGTCTATCACTAGTTCCGTTCATGCTGAAATAAAATTGGTAAGACACTGATGAGCATGCCGTGAGAACAGCTCCTGACTTGATGCTCAATTATCCAATAAGACAGTTTAGATGCGTACGCTATCCAGATGGCTGGATAATAAGGCAGGAATGTGTCACCATGTTCCTTATTAACACATGCTCCTACAGAGGAAAATAAGTGGGCGTTTTGCTATGGCCGAGGTTGATATTTTAGCGTGCACAATATGAACTGCTGCTGCATATTTAACATGGGCGTCAATGGACGTTGGAAGAACTCTCGTCAAATTTCAGATTGACTGACAGTGTTAAATGCCTGTGCTGAATGATGTCATGCTTACACCGGCCAGATAATTGCATGATTGTTAGCAGCATGACTATTGGCACACACCATAAATCTGGCTTTAAAACATACGCGCACTATCCGCTGCGTATTCGCATGACCGAAGTTTGCAGATAACAAAAAGGTAAACAGATGTCTCTTTTTTTAAAACAGTCAAGCTCACAGTCACTCCTAAACTATTACGTGTTCCGATTTCACATTTTATGTGAACAACTTGGCTATAAACTTATTTGTTCTGTGGTCAGCATTTGATACTCGTCCAATCTTCTCCGGAGACTTCCTTCACCACTTCAATTTTGCATTGTAAAAGGGGAATGTTGGCAAAAGCCTGGCTAACGGCATGACCAATTTCAGAAGTTGCCTCCGCTAGCCAAATTGAGTTGGGCAATGGTATCTCACATGTCAGGTTCTTCGCAAAATGACGGCCAATATTGGGAAATTCAAGGGATTCCACCTCGACGATTGCACTGCTGTCAGAAATGTATCGTGTTATCACAATCGCGTTTGCGGTAACTTCCTTTAAATCACAGGAAAATCCGTCTTTGATTGGCACACGATATTTATTACCAATAGCGATAAACATCTGAAATAAACACAAAGGCAAATAGTCACTTACTTCCATAAGTTTGCAATGTTAAGCGTGAATATACTGACCTCTTTAAAAAACTGCAGCGTTATGGCCGGAAAGGAAAGTTGACACTCAAATTTTTCCATATCGCTCGATGACAGTCTGTTTAAACTTCGGCAGAAGGTTCCCGTTGGCGAAACGTGAACGAACATTGCAAGAAATGTTGCAGTCCGTTTGTCGTCCGTTTCATTATATATCAGTAAGGGCACGCGCCCCATAAGATGTCTAACAGCTTGGCTTACTCTCTGGTTAATGACATTGTGTGAACGCTGGCCAGCGTTATCTAAAAGAGATATCATCTAGGTTTACATCCTGTAACTTGGTAATTATCAATAAATGACTATTTTAAAGTGACGAAAATCGGGTGCCGATATCAGCTCATCGTCAAGGATACAAAGAAAATTATAGACATAGACGTTTTCAGCACCTCAGAAATATTTAAATGAGAACAGATGTTACCTGGCAGTTCACTAAAAGGTTTTATTTCGTTGGATGACTTCTCCTCAGACGGGTTGCATGCAATTACACGCGTCGTAAACCGATGCATCTCCAGTGAGATTAGCAGTTGAACGGCAAACCAGCTTACATTACCTGTGCGTCTCATTTCATAAGTCCTTTACTTTGTTGCAGTGCAGTTGATCGTCTGCAAATGCCTCATTTAAAAACCACGGTAACATATCAGTTTACGCCTACAGGCCAATGCAATTGGTCGATTTCACTTAAAAAACGATTGGCTAGATATTCAACTCACATGCAGCCAATTTAAAATCTATCGAAATTAAGGTAGTATGATTTGTTGATTAACAGCGGGCCGCCAGAATTGGTCGAGCGTCTGTTGATCTGGCGAGAGTCGAGTTAGTGAGTATGCAAATATGATAATCCGCAAAAAAAGCTCCGATGATGACTAAAAAGGCTTCGTGAAAAGTAGAAACTCATTTTGAAAAACTTGACTCACCAATGATAAGAATCGAATTCTGTCTTACTGAGCGAATTCCAGATCAAAACTAGACAGAAAGGAGTTTAGAGGGAAGAGACGCTCACGCGTGCTTGAGAAGACACTCATTAATTGCGGGAAATATTCTCACTTTTGAATTTGAACATAACTGACAATCACGCTGCCTAACTAGATCTTACATAAAAGTCATTTTTTTCTTAATGGAGTACAGCGAGGTTTAAGAAGTATTCCGGTTGAAATTATCAACTAATCGCATATGAAGAAAGATGATTCCGAGCATATTACCGGGTAAACATTATTGATGTGCGGTTTCATGAGAAAAAAGTATGTTAAACTGTCAATATTGCAGATAAGGCGTTTGCTAAAAAGGAGTGTGTAGCATACTGCGTAGATGTGCTCTGGAGTTAGCTTTCTCAAAGACATGCTACTTACCTAGCTAGCTGAAAGTAATTTCTGACTGACTCGCAGTCCACATGACAACCTATTGTGTGACGTTTTAATATCGAACGAAAAATTCAATGGAAACATTCCGAAAAGGAACTTTAACATGCGTCTGAATAAATACATTTCTCATCTTTGATCGTACGCGTTGTTTGCAAGCATACGGCTACTGTCGTTTTCCTTCTGTCAAATTACTCAATTTCATTATTTATGTGTATGAAAAATATACTTTTTAAAGTAGCAGTTTGCTCGACATTAATTTATGTCACAGAGGATAATAGCGGAGTAATTATCGTTGATGTCAGCTACTAGGTTAGCGCTCGTAGTCTTATCTTGACAAAAGAGCATTAACTGTCGACATGCCTTTGAATGCATTGACATCAATCGGTCGCCTCATTCTTACTTCCCGATCCTTTGCCGCATATGACGGATATTACGATTTTTATAGCATGATTAATTTCGCATCATGAATATAATTTGTCGTTCCTATGCTGTCGAACATGAGAATAAGTTCACTTCCGGTCGAGTGAGCAAAAACAAAACAACCGTTCAAAAATGGGGATTTCGTAGAATTCAATTTAAATCCTTAAGCGACTGCAATAATCACGCATTCGGGTAATTCGACCGCCTTTAACAATAAGCTAACTCACTTCGACCCATTTGTGAAAAACTCGGCACTTCGGTGGAATTTGATCCATGGACAGCAAATAGATGCTGTAGTACAGCCAACGCTCTAACCCTCTGAGCTACGAGGCCCCGCCGGACGACGCGAGTTTGATCACATTTCTGTAAACTTACCCGACCAACCTACTGCAACGTCCGGAATCCACCAAATCTGATACAGTAAGTTGACTGCCCAAACAGGATTTCCTAAGCAATGCATCTGGAATCCACCAGATGACTACCAGGCTCACGTACTTCAGAGGTGTTTACGGAGATTTCAAATAATTCACTTTGACCCAACTGTGAAAATCTCGGTGTCTTGGTGAGATTCGAACTCACGTACAATTAGTTGGAATCTGCCAAATCACCTCTGAATAAGCTAACTGTTTTTCTTTACAGACGTTAAGACTTGCCATAAATTCAGGTCTTGTGGAGTGTTCAAAATGATGTTTAACAATGACCTCAGCACGACAACCACACATTCTATAAAATGGGCCTCATTTGTGTTTAAAAGAACTAAACAACTAATTAATATGTCATCAATTAAGCATAATATTTAACAGTGAACGCTTAACGCTGTATGCTACATATTCAGTTGCAACAAAAAGCGCTGACATTCTTCAAGCTGAGGTAGCGAAACATGGCAGTGCGCGACCGATCTAAATAGTTTCTATGGTCCAGTAGATATTGCAGCAAGAATACACACTCAGTATTTTAACGGATAGGACAGTTGTTTATATACACAATCACAGAGAGGAACGAAAACTATGTTCAAACCACTGAACTATCTCATTTTTCAATAACGCAGCGCAAACGCCAAATAAATGTGGCACACAAGCCGACGAATCCTTTACGCACTCCACTAGTACACCCTAAGGATAGAGTTGGCTATCTCAATAAAACGTAAGTCGTCTATAAGAGCCTATACGATGCCTGTGGTGCCGTGTATTGTGGACAAACGGGAAAATTTGCCTTTACACGCATTCACGAACATCAACTGGCAGTTAATAGGCGAGACCACCTGCCTCAAATGTCCATGCACACTCTTGCTACTGGGCACACCGTCGCATAGGGCAAAAGTCGCATCTTTGGAGCTTGTCCATCTAAAAAGACCGAGACTTTCCTGTAGCCATGCAATCGGATGAGTTAGGCATCAATTGGCAAATTGAGTTAGATCCCACCTAAAAAATCTCAGGGAAAAAGTAGAAGTGGCGACGGCCAATTGGTACAGACTGAAGCCCACTGCGGTCGCTTACCGGCTGAAGCACCAAATGAATATTGATTTCTTCGCATGTTTGAAATGGGAGTTGTTTTTACCACGTTTACTTGAGTATGACGACGACACGGGGAACCGACGTCGAAAATTTACTCAATCATGTTTTTTTTCCAAAGAACGTATTTGCCTTCAAATTATATTTCTTGGGATGCCTAAGTTCCACTTCACACACAAATATGCGTAAAAATCGATGCGCGCTTCAAAAAAGCACTTGACAACAAAAGGGGGGCTAAAGCATGAAATGTAACCGGAATTCCAAACTTCGTTTCCCAATCGAAAGGATTTATTAAGTAAGGTTGTAATAATAGTCCTTGTGGGGCAGGATTCTATCCTAATAAGGTTACATCAGGATTCCGGCTTTCGGATGAACTTCTTATTGCCTGCATTCGAAAACTACACCGTGAAAAATGACTACGCATGTAGCATGCATTTTTTCCATTGTTTTTATGCCCTTAAAAATTCAATTATATTCCATGGAAAGCAATCATAAAAATATTCATGGTTTTGCTAATTCAATAGAAAGTTACGCCTTCTCCCAATTTTATGCTCCGAGGAAGGGTGTAAATCCCTTTAAAAGTAGTTCCTAATTGTGCGATGTTTAAAAACTGTGAAATGGCCGTTAATGAAACGTCGTATCTCTGCATTTACTAATATGAATTGCAAAGTTAACAACATGGCCCAAATCCTGTGCTAAATTTTATGAACCCCATAAAGTCGCCTCTTAATGCCGTAGAGAAATTCACGCGGAGAAATATATGGTTTATAAGTTATAAACCCCAAATAAAATTCGGGAATTGAAAAAACCTTTTGAAACCCAAACCATACCATACCTTCAAGTATAAAACTGGAAGAATACGACATTTTCTACATCTGCATCTTTTCCATGAAATATAATTGAATTTTAATGGCAAATAGAATCAATCAGAGAAAAATCGGGAAGTTCACTCAGATACCGACATCCTGAGTTAACTAAATTATAGCAAAAGTACGCTGTACGATGATTAGTTTCAGAACCCTACCTAATTAATCTTTTCGGATCGAAAACGCCTTTTGGAATCGCGGTTGCCATTTCATCATTTGGCCCGCCTACTGTAAGTGCGCTAATTAGCTGCAAAAAATTGTGATTAAGGTATGAGATTTCAGCCAATTGTTTGCTGATGCAATCCGTATAGTTCATTGGTAATTGGGTGTCAATTGCATGAAAACACCTAAATACATCAGGACACTAGGTAGAAAAGTCGTAAATTTTATCTGAGAAGAGACGCTTTTGAAATGCAGTTGGAAGCTAACTTGGGCTCACCTACTTTCCAACTTTTTCTCCAACTTGTTTGGTTTGCATCTGCCCTCTTTGCGGAGGCCTCTAACGCGTTAGAGAGAAGTTCTTCCCCGTCAAGTGGAATTTCAAAGAAAAAGACAGGTTGAATATCGCCTTATCTCAAGCCGTTTTACAGTATAGCAACTTACGATGGCCTAATAATTTACTTGCATTGTGGAATTCATTTAGGAATTTCGTTGCTTTACTTTTACATGTATTTAGTTCCTTATTAGTATTGTTACGAAATCTAAATATCTCTTTTAGAAAAGTTATATATCTGCTCACTTAATCATGTCCGAAATATGAGCGAAGATGTTGAATATCTGATGACGCATGTGTCCTTACTGGAGCACAACGAAAGAGATGAGAGTCAACAGGACTCATACTTCAGGATGATTGTGCATACTCATCCAACAGTCGTATCTTGTCACCTTTTGAAAAACACGAAGATTGATGATCTGCAATCATTCGACTGCTCTCTGTCCTTTCCGCTGATGTCACTAAGTTTTTTTATAACGGTTAGTCACTTTAAGATCCTTTCTGTGCGTTTCCAGAATAAAGTCCTAATGCATTTCTCCCATTTATAGGCAGCGCCTACTGTTAATAATAAATTTCAAAGCACCTCTGCAGTCGGAATCTCTTGTGAGATGTCTGAGGTTGCTGCAACGGCAATTGTAATATCAGGAAACATTTGTGAATACAGCGCAATCACTGAAGTGAAATATCTCGAATTCCCCACATTATACATGCATATTATGGACAACCGATCGTGCACTATGCCATTACCCAGCCCGACCTGGCTAAGGCACGCAATGACTGAAATGGCCTATTTTACAAACGTGGCATTTGCTAAAATCGGCCACCTGCGTTGTATAATCTGAGTGTGTTTGGACAAGT